AATAATAGGTATAATTATATTTGTATTACTTTCTATCTAGAGCAAGCTGAACTTTAGAAAAAGAATGCCTTTTCGACTTTCTAATTAGATACGAATTATAAGTATATTAAGGGCTATAATAAAGTTAAGGTTATTTAGGGCTAGTATAACGAAGTTTCCTAAAAAGGTTCTAAAGCGATTCTAAATCTATTCCAAAATATTTCTAAACTATTTACTAACTTTTTAAATAGCTATTCCACTCTTCTAAGTTTTTATAAATATAGAGAGTACTAAAATATACCAAAGGATATACTAACTTGTTTTTTAAATTCTTAAAGAGCGTTTTGGGTATATTATCTAATAAAAATATCTTTCTAAATATAACTAGGGGTTATTAAGTATTACTATTAACTAAGATTATAAGAACTTAATAAGTAAGTTTATAAAATCCTTTTATATAAGGTTTAGAATCGGTTCAGAACTAATTTAAAAAGGGTTTGGTTAATATTTATTGCTTAATTACAATTTATAATATCGCCCCTAGGAATAGTAAGTTAAAAAATATATTCGATTTTACTTAGTCTATTTCTACCGTAATATTAAGAAATACGTTCTAAAAAATCGCTCCCCAAACTCAAAATAGAATTAAATAAGGAGTATTTTACTCTATTAATTAAAAAAGGATTACTTTTTATTATATAATTAACTACGAAGTAAAGTAATTTAGAACTTATTTAAAAGAGGTTTATAACTAATTTAAAATCGATACTAAGTAATTTATTAATTTTACTTTAGGCTTAATATAAATCCTAGAGGAATATTATAACTAGACTTAACTAAACCTATTTATAAATACCTCTTAAGGATTAGGATAAGTTTTATACTTATACTAATATTATAAAAGCCCTCTATTAAGCTTCGTATATATAAAATAATCGTTTCGTCCCGTTATTAGTTTATATTTAGAAATAGGTCGGAATCCTTTTAGAACTAATTTAGAACTAATTACTATATTTAGATCTAGGGAATATAATAAACACCTTTTTAAGTAAGATACCCTTTTTTTAAAATTAGGTATTCGCCTTACTTAGCGGGATATATTTATTATTAAAAGATATTATACCTTAGCTAGTTATTTAAGTATAAACCCCTTAAAACTATTTATAACTAAATTCAAAACTAATTCTAAACTAGTTTAGGAACAAAACGTTAACGTCGTTTAGAATAATAAGAACTAGCTCTATATAAACAAAATATAGGGGCTTATCGGCAATTTATTAAATTATTACCTCGTAATTCTTTAAGCCTAGTACTTTTTAATATAAGTTTACGTAGCCGGTTAAGGTCTTGGAATCGGTCGTAGTTATAATAAAGGGTATAAAATCCATCCCTAAGCCCTTTAAAACTCCTTCTAAATAGATTACGAAGTCTTTCCTAAGTAACCTTTTTTAATATTATTTATTAAAATTTACGTTACATATCTATAATAAATTTATAAAGCGAGGTTATTTAAAGTTAAAATAAAGATATTATTAAGCATTATACTTTATTAAATATTTAAAAAAGGGAGCTACGTTTAGAAATAAGCCGATTAGAGCTTAAGGAAAGGAGATTATAGTTATAAGAACTATAATAAAGACTTTAGAGATAGTTTAGAATCGATTCCGAATTACTTTAGACCCTATTCCTCTTTATTCTATAACAATTCTTAATAATAATATAATATAAAAACTAAAAACTAAAGTTTTAATATAATATATATATATTATATATATTATATATATTTAATAAAGTTATAGTTATTTAATAATATAATATAATTTATAATTATATATTAAATATTTCGCTTATAATACTTTTTATTAATATACTTAATAAAGATAATTAAATAATAATATAATATAATATAATTATTACTTTAGTTATGTTTTTAAGTTTTAAATAATTTAATATTATTTTAATATATATTAGATTTAGTATTTAATATACGTATTACGATTTCAACAATATTCTAATATTATTATTTAAAACTATTTAGTTTATAATATTATAAACAAATTAAGACCTATATATTATTATATTTTTATTTTTATTATTTTAATTACTTATATTATTAAGTATTATTTAATATAAAGTAAACAGTATTATATAGGTATTTTTTAAAAGGACGAAAGTATAAACTACTAAACTAATTCCGAACTATTCCCAAAGCGATACCGAACCGGTTCTAAATTATTTATTATTATCTTTATCCTTAGCCTTAATATTATCCTTAGCCTTAGTATCTTCTATATTACTATTATTATCTTTATTTATAGTATTATTAAAATCGATTATAATAGGATTTTCTTAAGTAGAGACATCCTTAAAAAAAGAGGTAATAACCTCCTCTTCTTTTATCTCCTCCTTAACCTAAAAAAACTTCTACTAAAACTAATAAAAACTATTAAGCTAAGAGGGGGGGTAGGCTAAATAGTTTAGAATTAGTTTATAATTAGTTCTAAACTAGTTCCGAAGTAACTTATACTTCTTTTAAGAACTATAAGAGGTATATTTAAACTTAGTATTTATATTAATAATACGACGTATAATAGCTATATTAGGCTAAGTAAAAAGTAAGAATTAGTTTAAAATAGGCTAGGAATTACTTTAGAATTACTTATAACTTCCTTACCTCCCTTATTATATATAGGGACTTTTAAAAGGGGAGTAGGAGATCTAGCTTTTTTTTTTTTAAAAAGAGTAGAGAGGGGGCCGCGGACTTTATAATTCTTATAGACCTTCTCTAGCTTATTATAAAAAGCTAAATAAATAATTAATTAACTAATTCTAAACTAGTTCTTAACTAGTTCCGAAATAGTTCTAAACTACTTATTTAAGGCCTTATTATTTATATTAATAAAGTTAGTACCTATTTTATAGCTCTTAATACGTATTAAAATATTATTAACCTTATATTTATAAATATAGGTATAAAGATTACCCTTAAAAATAAATTAAGTTTCCTAAGAGTTTAGAATTAGTTTAGGATTAGTTCTAAATTACTTAAGAATTACTTATAATTATATAAGTAACCTTTTTATTATTAACTAAGAATCTATAATATACCTTACTAAGTATAAGCTTAATCTTATTATCCTAAATAATTTTAAATTAGTTCTAAACTAATCCTAAACTAGTTTTTAATTATATACCTTATTATACTCAAAAAGGGGCAGGTTTTTATAGTGGATAAGATTACCCTTAGGGCTAGGAATACTTAAATAATAGTCCTAGTACGCTTCCTATTTAGAATTAGTTCCGAATTAGTTTAGAAATAATTATAAAATACTTCTAGAAAATATAACTTATTAAATACTTATAGGAGACTATAATAGGTAGAATTAATTCGGAACTAGTTATAAATTAATTAGGGAGCGAAAAAGTAAATTAATAATCCTCTTTATAAAGGGCTTAATATAAATAAGTAACGAATAGGATACGAAGCTAATAGGGGTATAATAGGGGCTACTTATATAATAGGGTAAGAGGTATATAATTAGTAATATAGGTTATAATTAGTAAAAGTGGTCTATGCTTAGTTAAGGATTTTCTAACTAATTAAAAATCCGCTTAGCTAGTCCTACGGTAATTAAACTAACTAATTAGAAAATTAGTTAGGTTACGTCCTTTTTCCTATAGTTAGGTTAGGTAACCAGGGGGGCTACAGGTCAGTTTACCTATGTTTACATAATCACACCTATGGATACACTAAACTCGGTGGTCCGTCGCCAACTAGGTATTGCTGCCCACGATCTGACGAATGCTCATTTCACCTCTCCATGGCCAGTGTCTTTTGCCGTTACAACGATGCGAAACATGCCGTGGTACAATTCATTTCCCAGCGATTCCTACAAAGAAAGGGGAGTTGGAAACCAGTCAAATGCGAGCTGCGCAAGCTCAACCAAGTTAGCCATGGCGTACAGCCTCGCCGTTGAGTAACACAGAGCTTGTCGCAACGTGCACCAGCAGCATCTGTCCATTCATCGCGCCATGTTCCTGCCTAGGGAATTTAAGACTAAGACAGTTTCGCCGCCGTCTTGGCAGGTACCAGCCGCTAGCCTCACCTCGAAAGAACGCGTTTTCACTTTTGAGGCATCCTTCATTTCCTGATTTGTGGATTAGAAACTCTACGGACTACGGACTACGATTGCCGATAACGCGAGAGTCAGAGATTCAGAACAGCAGAGACTAGGAGGAAAGGAGATCTGTACTGCGTATTGATCGAGCTAACCCGCTCTGCAAGCATTGTTGATTGGTCTCAGCTATTTCCAAGACAGGCTCAGTTCCTGGCGATCTCTACCGGTAATCTAACATGCCGGCATCGTTGAACTTAGACTTGCACATCACGGTCATCACCCAAGGTCGGACGCTAACAACAGCACGACTTTATCCACGCGTACATGCGCGAAACGAATCATGCACCCACGAGCCAAGGCTTCCTTCTACCAGACACCACGCAGACGTATTCACTCGCACGCATCGAGTTTCCGATTCTGCAATGAGGAAAGATGCCGTTCGTCGACGGTAAGATTGAGATCATCTGAAGAGAACTATTGCTACACTGTCCACGTAAATGCTACGCAAACCAACTAGGCGCTTTGAGCTTGCTCAAAAAACCAATTCATAAGTGGGAAGTTCTAGGCTAGCCCCGAGCCATTTTCCGGTCCCAAACCATGCTGTCTAACCCCAAGTCGTCTTCACATGAAAGAAAGAAAGGCCCAGTGCGGGCATTGAAGAGAAAAGAGAAATGAAGAGTTCGCTCAAACAATGAAGGGCTATCGACCAAGGCGAATCGCGATCGATGCATTCTGTCCCTGCAGCATGCAAAGCACACGGTGCCACAATAGGCTCATATGCAGACGACAATCCAGAGCAACAGACGCCCAGGCCAGGGAAACAAAAATCTCTGAACCGCGCTCGTCCTCAGACGACAGCCATACTTCCAATGTCCGAGCTCATGAGACTATCATGCTCACGACTTAGAAGTTGGATGACGCCTCCTTTTCGGAATCGGCGGCGACGCTGACGCTGTTGACAGTGATAGTCTTTCCCGACTCGCTCGTGACGCGAACGTCGACGGTCTCGGTTCCGAAACCGCTCGAGTTCTCGAAAAAGTTGTACGGCTGGCGGTTGGTCGCCTGCCAAGTGCTTCCGCCATCCGTGCTGACTTCGAGCTTCGCCACGGGCTCGTTGTGGTTCAGCACTTGCATGGAGAACCAGTTGGCAGAAGTGCCAGTCTTGTTGTGGAGCTTGATCGGCGAAGTGATACCGCACTCAACAAACTCGTACGAAGTCGAAATGATGCCCTCGGAGACGGTTCCGAGCTGCGTGAAGGCATCCTGGAACAGATCGAGGTGGCCCTCGTCGCACTCGGGGCACTGGTCTACAACCATGGCTGTGATGCTGTTGCCATTGGGTCCAGTGACCTTGACGCAAGCACCGCAGTGAGCGGCAGAATCCCAAGCCTGGCCGGAGAAGGCAGTGCCGTAGAGGCCGGAGGGGATGGTATAGGTCGAGAAGGAGCACATGCCGCCAGAGGTGTTACCGCCGTAAAAGGTCGACTTGCCCTGCTTGGTTCCACCACTGCCGATCGGCGTCGAGGATGAGGCCGGGGTGCTGGCACTGCTGCTGCTCGACGATGGGGCAGCCTGCTCCACCACGGTAGCCGAGGCCGATGCGGTCGTTGCGATGACCGATGGCATCTGAACGGGAGTCTCGACGGGGGCGGAGCTTTCGACGGAGCTCTCGACGGGGGGTTCGACGGGAGTAGGTTGCACGACCGGCGCCGTCGGGATGGGGGTCATGGTCGGGCCTCCGTAGGTCGGGGTGACGTAGAAGGTGAGGACGGTGGTGCTACGCGGCTTGGCTGAGCAGGACTTGACGGGCTTGGCGAAGGCCATGTGAGCGGCCGAGGCGGCCAACAAGAGAATGGATTGCTTCATTGTGTCGAAGACGATGGACGTGATAACGATGTGTTACGGTGAGGTTCCTAGCCAAGGAGGAACTACTGATCAGATGCAGATTCAATTCGGACAGAGACAAGCTCGGTGTCTTTTCTTTGGACAATGACAGAATAGCAGTCGGCAATATCAACAAGTGAAGGAATGTCGGACCTCAAAGGGGTGCAGCAAGAGTTCCAGACCAGCGTGGATAGAGAGAGAAAGGGTCAAGGAAAGACTTCACACCTACATGGCAGGATATGGCAATCCTTTTGAGGGAAGAGCCTAGAGCAGGAGGGCAGGCAACCATAACACCGGTATTATTTTGATTTAATCTTACTCGATCCTGCAGAGGGACGGAAGAAGGACAAGCGCCACCAACGGGAAGGAAAAAACAACGCGCGCGAGAGAGTTTTCCTCCTACTGTGCCGCCGCCGCCGTCCATCCTACGGTCCTACCTTACCAACCTGCCTCATGGGGGTTCATCCTCGCTCCTCAGGGCGGACGTGCGGACCAAACAATGCAGTCCAGAACGCAAAAAGAGGAACCACTCCTCTATGCTCCCGGCGCCGTGGTGCCGTGGGCAGGCATGCGCGCTGCTCCGTGGCGAGAGCGTGGCTCCATCGTCATCTAAAATTGACGGGGGGTTGAAACCAGGATATCCAGCGGGGGTGGGAACCTGCGCTGAGGGACCGGACCACGAGGGCCAGAGCCAGCCGGCGGCGTTCTTGCGCGCGAAACAATGCTGTGAAAACAGCATCAAGACGAAACGGATTAACGCCAAGAGCCCCAACTCGATGACAGTCTCGACTTTCCCTCGAGGGATGTGGACGATCAGAGGGGCTCGGTGACACCAGGCTAGGGCTGAAAGCTGCACCCCGATTCCCCTTCTGTCAAGAATGTGTCAAGAATGGGCTTGAACTGACGTTAGACATGCTCAACTTCAAGCATATGGCGTGCCATAATACCGCTCATGATATAGCCTCCCTCCCCGAATCACCATCTACCCCAAACAACCTACCCGGCCCCTCCTTTTTCTTTCCTTTTCCTTCCCGCATCTTGACAATAATCCGATGAACGTATAAGGAGGGGTGGGGTCGTAGGTTACGGACAACTGAGTTTCATGAAACATTGTATATCCTTACAAAGTAGGTTTCTGGTACGGAAAGTGTTGGTCGCGTTCATCTAATCATTCCAGTCTTGCTGCACTGTCCAGTGACGCAGAGTCATTTCTGTCATTTCTAGGGTTTTATGCCTCTGACACGGTTTTACACTGCCATCCTACGGATACCAACTTGCGTGAGGTGTATCCGTACTGCGCGCATATAAATGCCCGTAAGCAGCGACTACCCCTCGCCACGAGAAATTAAGAACGCAGGTGAGTTGTTTTTCCTGCTCGGGACGTTTGACCGTTGGGTAATCCGTACGGAGTACACAACTAGAACCAAAAAAAAAAAAAAAGCTGGGGCAGCAATTTACCAGTCGGCGAGTTTAAAGCAAATGAGAAACTCGGAGACTGAGCAGAAAATTTCACTCGACAGATTGGAGAAAAGAAATAAGCTCATTATCGGGATTCCGGTGGGTGAATGCAGGTCGGCGACGTGTGTAATTGATTCATCATTGATAGACCTGGTTGGTCCTTGCTGGTCCCTAAACTTACAGACTTTCCTATCTCTCCCCCCCCCCCCTCTCTCTCTGTCACCTTTGTCCAGGCTGATTCATAATCTTCGTTTTCCCAAAGAGATGTTCCCCGACCTATCTTCAAAGAGAGGCTTTAAGGATCCAGCATACACAGTATCAACTACTTCTCTTCCTCCTCCTCCTCCTCCTCCTCGGCAAGGTCGGGCCAGTCGGCCAGGGTGGAGGCTGTGGAGCATGGATATGCCCAGTGGAAACCCCCCGGAGACTCGCAGCAGGGATCTTGTTTTTTTGGACGATCGTGCTGCCCTGGCATGTTCTAGATCCTCTCCTCCCCCTCCTCGAGGCTCCCCCCCTTTTTCCAACACCCTCGTCCTAGAGATGGAATGTTCCCGCGTCTTGGCCAGCTACCTACCCTACCTATCCAGCACTGCCTATGATGTACGGATCCTCATCCGGATCCTAAATACGAAGAATATCCAAAATTTTCCTCTAGACTGTGGTCTCAGAACATCAATGGCGCGAGCCGCGAGGTTACCTACCTATCGCAGTGGCCTTCCCGTGTCTTGACTCTTGACGGGAAGGAGGCGTAAGGGGGGGGTTTACGGAGGGGAGGGGCCGTCAAACGAATATCACTCTGCTCAAAACGTGGTTTGACGTCGAGTACACTAGGAAGAACGGTCGAAACGTACCACGTCGAAACGAGGCCACAAAGACGCCGTTACAGAGACAAGTGACGTACGTCGCTTACCCTTGGAGTAGGTAGGTATCCAGACTCCGTCCGCTTGCCTGCCGGACGGACCTGTGACGGTCCCACGGTGGTAGTGATACAAGTGGGTTGCCGTTACCTTAGAAGAGTGTCTTACAACATATAAACGCGCCTTGTGTTTGTCCCCTTGAATCCCCACGAAAACTACGACTCCTCTATTAGAGTGAAACGACCACAGTCAGGCACTGGGTTTTGAATGGGAGGGCGACAAAGTGGGTGACGAAGTCGATGTGCCGGTCAATACGGTAGTCCTTTCTCCTATCGCTGTTTTCGTCATCACTACTGTCCTTACTCCCATTGTACTACGATATTTCAAGTACATTATATAGACGGTATACTCCGTGAAGTAAGAAAAGTAGCTATCGTACTGATAAGGGAAACAGCAGAGGCAACACTAAAGGGAACGATAGCGGCGTAGTAGAGGAATCGAGAGAAACTCGATATGAGCGGCAGATCATTCCGTCAACCAGCCATCTGGGCGTGAACGTACAAACAGCCGTACATAGGTACAGGGTCCAATAATCAAGACGGGGCGCGCACTCGGGTGACAGAATCAATGCCCTCCTTTGGATAATGCAGGCGACACGAGTTGGGGAGAAACTCGAGAATTGAATGTACCTGGGCGGGCCAAATCTCCACAAGTGAGCATGGCATCTCATTATTAGAAGTAAACCTAACATATCTATCTAATCTGAGTGGCTGGTATCTCCATCGAGGGGAGTGAGAGAGTGTGACTCTGCGCAACGACACGCCGCCTCCCCTCCTCTCCCTCCTCCGTTTCGCTTCAGAAGTATTTACTGGCAAAAGTATTATACCCTGGCACACTGGCTGACATGTATATATGAAAAAAAAAAAAAACTAGCAAGGCACCATGAGGCCATCCAGTCCGCAAAAACGAAAGCAAATCAGTCCCGACCATTCTAAATACTCACATCCGCTGACGGCGACGACCGCTTCCCGGCCTCAACTCATGTTATCTGTTCCCATAGCGTTGTTGCGGCGGACAATGGTGAGATGGGATTCTGGTAGTCAAAACAAAACGAGAGAAAGCAAGCATCGTTAAAAGGAAAGACTGGGTTAAACTGAACGGCTCCTATGCAAACCGAAACGCCGGAAGATCAGAGCCTGCGAGAGGAGAAGTAACGAACCGACGACACGAGGTATCAATAGCCAAAACTATCATGCTGATGGACTGGGCACCGTCCAGGATGGTTGATGAACCAAGCTGAGATACAGGATCGATGGAAACGGCAGAGGCACTCCAGACGCGCCATGGGAACGCCCACCTCGAATTCCTCTAGGCAGATGGTGCACTCGGCCGAGTCCACACAGTCCTTTTCTGTGGCAACATAAGGGAACATACCAGTCCGACGAACCGCCAAGGGTGGTGGCGTTCCGACTGGAGGGGTCTCTCCCGTCGGTGTACCGCCGTAAGCGCTGTGTGAAGTGATGCAGGTGTTAATGTGAGTCTCTCGCAGCTGCTCAAAGTTGGGGAGGGTGCGAGAGGGCAGTTCGCGATGGCAGACCGGGCATTCGTCTTCCTCGGCTATTTGGGGCGGCGGCGGCGGCAGCGCACGATTGTAGTGCGCCGACGAGGACGACGATGGACCAACATCCAGCATGGATCGATAGCGGGATGAGCCTGGGTAGCCGGAAGATGAGGACGGGTAGTACGTCGGCGGAGTCCCTGCCATGATCCGACTTCCAGTGGACTGGTAATGTCCGCGAGAGCTCGAGGGCCCGCCGGAGCCGGAGTGCTGCGCCAGTTAGCATGCGTATGAATTGAATGTGGACCTGGATTAACTCTTACCGTAATGCTTCTAGACCTGGCATAGGTCTCCGGGGAGGGGCTCGACGTGAAGTAGCCGGAGAACCGCGAGGGAGCGGGCGCGTTGCTGGACATTGTGCTGATGCTGCTTTGCGATCTATAATGCGATCCTCGAGGAGACAATTGAGAAGGCGAGCCAAGTGGCTGCTGCGGCGGTGTGGTGTTTGGGTCTGGGACGCATGGGTTGCATAGACGAACGCGCTCTCCTCCACCAAGGCTGCTGAAATCTGCATATCCTCCCTCACCACTGATGAGGGAAGACGGGTATCTCTGGGCGGCCAATCGCGGTTGTCCTGGCGCTTGAACAATGTACTGGTAAGGAATGGTGATTCTGTGAGGCGAACAGGCGTTACAGACGACTCTTCCACATTTCCTGCAATTTGTTAGCAACTACGTCACACAGCCCCTCAACTTCTACATACCTGCAATGATGTTTCCTGACGAATATGCTAAATTGTACGTTGCAAATCGGACAAAGAACAACCTCTGCGTCCGGTTGCCAACGTGGGACGACAAACTCGGGAGGACCACTTCTCTCCCCAAATCCTTGTTGACCGCGCAAAGGAGGCTGAATAGCAGTCGAAGAACTCGCCCGTCTGGGTGGCGGCGGAGGCGGGGTTTCGTGAGATCGGCTGGATATCAGAGCTGGGCGTAGGGGTGAATCGTGTGACGATGTGTTTGCCGCTTGCGATGTAACCAAGCTCGATGATCTTTCCGGTGGGACGAACTCTCCGGTCGGCGTTGCAGGCGTTGCAGTCGGTGGGAGAG